CACTGCACTTCCTCAGCTGTCCAGGCAATCCTCATCTGTTTCCAAACAATCCATGCTTTGCAAACCCAGCTTCTACCTACTTTTGTAGATTATGGAAAAACTTAGGTGGGGATTGGGCTGGATCTCACCTGCCTATGGGTGACATTCCCAGAAGGATGCAGGGCCGCGGGGGGTGCCAGCATTATTTTTTAGGCTACTTGCATCCACCTGAGTCTTTCTCATCGCTGTACCTCCAGGTCCTAGAACAGAACCTGACAGAATGCTCAGTCTGTCCTTGGGAAGAATAGATAATTCCCTTTCTCCAATTCCTTTGCAGGTCTCAGAGGTGACAAGTTCATCTGCTTTCAAGACCGCCAGTGGCACAGCGAGTGCTTTAACTGTGCGAGGTGCTCGGTCTCCTTGGTGGGAGAAGGCTTCCTGACCCAGGACAAGGAAATTTTCTGCCGCAAATGTGGCTCTGAGATGGACATTGACATCTAGAAGTAGACCGTCCTTCCCCCATCTGTAATCCACCCTGTTTTTTTTCTCACTAAAGTTGAAGTCGTTTTTCTCATTTAAGTTTAGAAAATATTAATGTAGAGTTTATAGTGGAAGAGTTTTTGCACACATTCTGATTGAACTGTATTATAAAAGCTAAAAAAAGGCACAGTCTAACACACATGAATATATACTAAATCACAAAGGCACCTCTCCTTGCAAAATACTGCACCCTACTGTTAGAAACATAGCAAAATATCTCTTTATTGTAATCAAGTACGTGACCTAGACCTAGAAGCTCTGGATGTTATTACTGGAGACGTTTTTCAACACTGCAGAGTAAAAAGGAAATTAAGAAATCAAATAGAAAGATGTAGGAAAGACTGATGTTTGCATTCCCGGCTAGCTAGTTATGTAATGCATGACAGGTTGGCTATGAATGGCAGACCAACCGAACTTACCAGGAAAAACTGATTATCAACATCACATTTAAGAATTCTGTCATTTTCTCATTCTCATTTTGTTCACACATACTGACTTTGGAGTTGAAAAGCAAAGCTGTGATTTGCCCTCATCCACACTGCTGCTACAGCTGGTTAATTCCTGTGTTTAACCCATGGAGTCTGAGAATTATGGATGCTGCGTCTCTCTCATACTCTGCATAGGCATA